GTGGTAAACATTTGGCCGCACATTTCCATATCAAATAGCTGGCAGGGCAATGCCATCAGTCTGGCATCGCTGTGCCATTTGCCTTGACATTTCTTGGCCACAAGAGATCAAATAACTGAGGCTCCATCAAATGATCTCAAGCGGCGCAAAAAGACGGCAAAACACTCTGATTAAAACAAGTAAAAGCGGCATAGTTGGGTACACTCAACAACGGCAAACACTGTTCCTGAGTTAATAACAAATGGGAAGCAGCCTTTATTTTTCGTAGTTGCTGTCAATATTAAAGCCAAGATAAGTTGCTGTGACAAGACAAACTGTGTTCTAGATTTTCTTCAGTTTTGCCTTTTTGCAATTGAATGAGGCAACCGTTGTATACCCTAAGCTCAGTGAAAATGTCTCAAAGAGTTATAAATTCTTCTTTACCATATGCAAAACAAGTTTTTCAGTAATTTTTTCGATATCTTCTTGCATATTCATAAGACCGATAAATATCGATGAGACCTGTTTTTTTTAAGCATAGCTCGAAGATTAGAAGAGCTAGATACACCAAACTTTGTATGAAGGTTCTAGTATATTTTATACACATAAAAAATACATCTCTTTTTGCGCTTTGCTATATATGCAGTCCCTTGTATATCGTATTTTAGCTTTGCAAATTTCACAAAGATCGAACAACAAGCGACAAGAGGCACAGCACAGGTCAACACTTATCTGCCACACTGTTTGTCGTGTCGTGTAGCCTCTTCAATCAGGCAGAAAAACATGTATTCAATATAACAAACGATTTTCGATTAGAACTGATAGTTACAATAAACATCTCTTTCAATATTACCACAGACATATCGGGCTTTATCAGCAGGCTGGGCTCGGGCTAAATAAGAGTGGCACATTTAATTTTTGGCTGGCCTTATCGTCGTAAGCCCATGTAGCAACTATGTACTTACGTAATAGGGTTAAGCAATCGATGCGTAACAATAACCCAAATTACCTGCCACAAAGTGCGACAACAGCAGCAGCTACAACAACAGCAACACTGACAACAACATGGCTTGGGCATGTAACGGAAATGATAAGAAAATGGAAAATGTCAACAAATGAAAGTCGAACAAGAAGTCAATCGCTCATGAATTTATTGCATTGGACGACCAAAACGAAAATTCACCAGCGGCACAATTATGGCAACACCTCTGAGGCCAGTCATAAATGCTACCATTTTGTGTCCATTTTCCAGTTGCATTGTAAGGCAACAGCAGCGGCAGCTACAGCAGCGGCGGCAGCAACAAAGGGCCATAGGCAAACACCAGCGATAAGTGCCGCAGTGGGGCAAGCACATAAAATGCATTAAATACCGCTCAACAGCAACAAAAACAATAACAAAAGCGACTCACAAATAAAACATGTCGCATACTTTCAAGGAACCAAACTGAAAATCCATCTTATTAGTAAAGACCAAAGAAACAAGTAAAAAAGCGCCAGTCGGACTAGTGGATGTCCGACTAGGAGATACCCTAAAACAAAGCCAAGCTGCCATTACACAGATTCTGGCTTGCTTGAACATACAAAAAATACTCTCGAAGTTTCTACCTTTAAGTTATCCAAAAAGTGATATATTTCTAATATACGAAAACCTAAACACAGGTTCTGTGTAGAATCTTCGAGTTATGCTTAAAAAGAACCAGTCTTAAAATCGATATTTATCGATATTATCAAAATAAGAAAAACAATTGAAAGAAAAGAATAAAAAACGACAATATATATTTCAAATTTCAAGTCAAGAGAAAATCGATGTCCTCACAAAGAAGAACAGATGAATAAGCCTAGATCAAGAACGTCCAGATCAAGAATATATATATGTAATTTACAGGCTCGCTTTCTTCTGCCCGTTTCATGCAATTGCACAAAAACCGACATACCCTTTTTTACCCTATTTCAATGGGTTCTCAAAACTACTTAGAATTCCAATTTGATAGAGGGCAGGCCCTATCAGATTCATTCGAATTGGTTGCGGGATTCCATTTAGGGTTTCGTAATGAAATTCTGCTTGCATGTGGTCAGTTATGGTAGGGGGCTTACAGCTGCGTATGCATATCAAATGAGTCGATCTCACAATAGCATCATCAAGTTTAAGGGCGACTGCATAACAGTGATTGAAAATAACAAATACGAATAGAGAAGAGCAAGAGCAGAACAGTGGGGGGTTTGCGAACGGGGCAGTACTCTGCTCACGGTTTAAAAACAGAGACGACTAAAGTCTTTCTTGCTCTCGGGTTGTAAACTCTTATTCATTCTCTGAACAGCCAGACTGGCAGATAGATAGATATACATCCATAAAGATGTGCATTGTACAAAGCCGATATGCTCGTTTTTACTTTGTTCACAGAGTAAACGAAAATCAACACTCTTTTTCAGTTTAAATCCATTTTAATCTAAGAGAACAAGCGACTGTCTTTATGAGTAACTTGCTTTTAGAGTCTTGACGAACTATGAACAATAGAATATGGTAAATTTAGTTGAAGCCAGTTAATTTCTCCACCTCTCTCTATCTCTTTTCCTCATTCCCTCTTGCTATTCCTCACACGCTGATGCTCAATCTGTTACCCCATTTGTTTTCTATCGCTTTTTTATTCGTTCTTTTCAACTTTAATTGTCGCCTTTCTATGCGATTCTCAAGAACTGAAACGTTGCTTTTTCAGGCTTTCCATGTTTGCACCCAGACTTGCGTCTGAGTTACGAACTTTTTTAGCTTTTGAGTTTCTGCTAAGCTGTCCGGCAATCCTTGCAAATATTGTCTTTGGCTGCAGGTTATAAGCAAAAGAGACGCACACACACACACGCACACGCTTGGCTGCACGCATAATTCGTTTCACTTGCGCTTTTCTGGTTTGTTGTTGTTGTTGTTGTTGTTGTTGCATTTACACGGATAAGACTTTCAGACCTGGTCGAGAGCAACAACAATGATAGCAAATCAACTGTTGTTTTTGTTGTTGCACGCACTTTAGTTTGGCATACGACAACGTCACCTGTTCGGCCAGTTTAAGTCACAGATACTAACACACTCACACACACACACACAAGGAGATGCAGTTGCCTGTATTTCCACATAAAATAAAATCTGACAAACTGCGCACAGTTTTCAACTGCTTTCTCGACGGCAGAGCGACAGAGCTGAGCCCATACACGCGTATTGGATATTGGGTGTAGAAAACCAGAGTGAAATTCCTTGACAAGACTACCTCACTCGCCAGTCCAATCGCAGACCGGACCATACTCAATGGGAAGTTTTTTGGGGAATGCAACTTGCCGGCGATGCGGAATCGGAATTGGAATCTTAAAACTCGAATCTGGTTCACGATCGCCACCATATACAGGTTGGGCCAAATTGGTTTCCTTAGTGTGTTCAGCTAACTAGGCTAACCTGTCACACTTCCCTGCCTCAGCTCTCCTTCTCCTTCACCCTCTTTCTCTTCCTCTCTCTCTCTCTCTCTCTCTCTCCCTCTCTTGCTCTCTCTCTCTCTCTTCCAGATGCCCTCTTCCCCTCTTTCACACTTTTCTTTTTGCGCCGTGGCTACCTTTTTTGGGTGTTGCGTGTTGCGCAACGCATGTAAAGTCCAAAAATGCCGAAAGTCTGGACGCAACAATTTCCCTCAAAAGTTGTCAAATTTGCATAACATTTCGCTGGGCGATCCAATCGGTTATTGTACAATAGTTAATGGAAAATGTTGTTTCAAGACGCGGCCCACTCTAGAAATGGAGTCGCTTGAGATATCTTCGGGGTAACAAGAAAGTCATTTGCATACATATTTGTATTTTTGGACTTTTTTCTTATATATTTATACATAGGTATTTTTCTTCATTGCCTCTAGCGACAAAATAAAAAAGTTGCGTGTGACTTTTGCCTAGATATATCTTTCATGTTTTTTTTTTTGTGTTTTTCTATTAATGCCTGTCGGAAAAAACACAAAATTACAACTTTCTCACGATCTTTGGGTGCGCATCGGACCATAGAGAGTGCTGTAATAATCTCTTCAAAAAGACAATTTACATAGAGCCAAGCATATATGTAAGATATATAGAAAATAATTAAGAACTCTTTTAGAATCAAAGTTCCTATCATTCTGTCTTACTTTGCAATTGGTTATTGCAATTGCTTGGCTTATAGCAATTATTTATTTCAGTTTTTGCTATTGTATTTTTATTTGAGCTCATGATATGCGAGTAATTCGGCCCTTAATACATTACGCACGCTTCGCTTGAGGCAATGTATGTCACATTTTGTGGCGCAAGAGGGTGTGACCATGAAAAATGTTGGCCAAGTTAGCAATGTGGAGCATTAGATTGGGTGTTTAGACAGACATTTAGGTCGCAACCCAGCCAAATTGTGGCTTTTAGGAGGTGTACATATCACAAGAGTGCTGGCCAGCAATATGTTAAGCTAACCCAACAAACTATATATGCATTATGTAAGTACGAAAAAGAAATGCTAGCTAGATCTGCCTTGCAAAGCTGCAGTCTTTCAACTAAAGGCTGCAAGCCTTGTTTGAACCGATGAGCAGAATGAGGTGGTCCAAAACATGTGCACCCTGACTAAACTTGCTTGCAAAGCTTCAAATTAGATGCTAAGCTGCAAGGCTTGAGTTATATAGCACAAGAGCAGGAAATTAAGAACTAAGCGACGTTTATATTCTGCATATGACAGAATAGCAAAAATTTCGTGTCGGCCTATGTCAACTTAGTGTGCAGTAAGCAGAAAAAGCTTAAGCTTAAGCATAATTCATCTACAATATGACAAATAGAACGTGTTTTGCAACACTGCACTTAATCGTCGAGTTCTTTTTTCTTATTACAAGCTGGGCACTTGTGAGTTTTAAAGCTTACTACAAATTCAAGCGCATATTAAACAGCGGAAAATTCGTTTGTTTTTGAACAAATACTGACTTTGTCGCCTGCTGCTTAGCTTAGAATGCGTTTTACAACACTGCACAATAGGCGCTTAATTGTTGTTAATCTGTCAGGCGTTCAGCCTGTTTCGCTTTCTTTCATACCATGTATTTTATAGAAAATTGTAATTAATTTCATTATTTAATCGATCTTTGCATTAACGCACCTGTATGCGCCAGCCGTAGCCACAGCCGCAGCTTCAACAAACAGGTGACGACCACCTGCAGCTGGTCTAAAGCTGGCAGCCAATTGGCTGCTACCCAGTTAGAGAAATACATCGTCAACTGCATAACTTTCACCGGGGCAGCGTGAGGCAATTGCGAGGAGCAATGGAAATGGACAAACACACACAAGTTTCCCTGCAGCCCCGGGCAGGATGGCCAACCAGCCAGGTGGTTTGGCCAGTAACAACAGCAACAGCAACAACAACAACAACAAGTCAGCACGGTCAGCGAGCCGTACTAAAGGTACGTTTCAAAAAAATTTACCCAGGCCATTAGCAGAGATTTGAAATCTCATCGCCAGCTCAGGGAACAATTGACAAAAAACAAAACAAAAAAAAAAAGTGACGCAGTCATTGGCGATGGGAAAGTGAAAAGTCTCACACATTTAACAGCATTCGCAATGCATTTTAATTATGCTAAACGCTGTGCAACACAATGTCCGCAAGACATAGCCAGTGCCACGCCCATAAGCCAAAATAGTGTATGCACAAATTAAAGATTTGTTGTCTGGTCAGTTGCCCAACTTGGGCAGCAATTTGCGCAGCAACTAATCAAATTAAACGTTATCTGGCGGCGACGAGCAAACAAGCTAACCAGCTAGAAAAGCGCCAGACGCGACTGCTCGACTAACAGATACTCTATACCCAATAACTCTGACACACTCGTGTGCTCCTTTAAATATGGTATAAAAGAACAGTCCCCGGGTGGGCACGAGCGAAGAAACTGTCTTTATATGCGTATTCTATTTGCACCCATTTTCCGCTGTCTATAATGGATTTTACAAAATCGTATTAATTCCCCGCTACAGAAAATCATCTTAGCTATAAAAAAAAAAGAATTACTTATCGAGGGCGGAAATAATTCTATTACAACTTAAAGCGAGTAAATTTCTTTAAATTTGAACTAGTTTCACAGCCATTTTCCGCCGACATGCGTGAATCCCGTAAAATTAATCATTTTTGACTTATACTTCTCTGCACAGAAATTTAATTACATTAATCAATTTAATTATATTTTAACTTATTTATAGATTATACAACCACAAATATCATTTGCATCTCCAGTTTCGTAGTTAAGCAAGCAAACATATGTGCTCCCTCCTTCTAATACATGCACCTTTTTTCAAATCAATTTAATTTCTTTATTTTCCAGGGTATAACAAGCCAACAAACAAACAAACAAACAAACAAACAAACAACTAGACGAGCCAACAAGCAATCTAAGCACACATAAGTAAAGACAGCCAAAAAGTAGCTTCCCTTTTTGGCTAATTATCATATGTACACAAGGTATTCATATTTATATATTCAAATTGGGGAACACAAAAGCATATACATAATATATATATTAGGGTGTGGTCTAGCAAGGCCAAGAGCCGCTTAGAACGTAGACTTCAACCAGTCGATTGATCGATTGTCTTTTAATGCATTCACGAACGAAAGTCGCAGCTTGACATATGCGAAGTGAAAAGATGGCCAAGATCGAGCTATGGAATCATCACGAACGGCGACAGTCATAAAAAAACAATGTTAAGAGTCCTCTAGTCGGCACTGCCTGACTAGGAGATACCCTGAACCAAGCGTCAAGCCGATGTTCGGGTTTAAATATGGCATAAAAAAGATGAAGGAGAGGTATCCAATACGGAGATTTACATAAACTGTATACACTAAACAAGAGCCTACATATCGAGTTTGATGTATCTCCCATAGTATGAAAGAGGTAGAAGATACAGCAGTCAGAATAAATATACCTTAAATAGACCTTACATTGGAGGACACACATTATATCCTTTACGCAGATTTTAAATGGGTATAACAAACTGGATGTTCGCCTTGCCCGCAAATCGTTTTCGTATTAGGATCAGAAATTTCGAACGATGCGTCGGCTGCTACAAATCAAAATCACAGAAATCAAGTTTTTATTTTGATTCTTACTTTTATATAGGTGGGTGAAAAGACACGCTTCGAGCTGATTGGGTTTGATTTATGTGTGTGTGTGTGTGTGTGTGTGTTGATTACTTTGAATTTGCCGCCACAAATAAAAAGTGCACAAAAAGTGGCCGCCGGCGACTAATGCCATTTGCAAGCACAGCAAAAAGCTGATTCTTTAATGGAACAGGGCTTCATATTAAGTCTTAGCCACAAGGCTAACCTCAAGAAGTTGCCGTGGACAAACTTGACTTGCATGCATAGAGTTTTTTAGTTGGTTTCTGCTAAAGTTAAAATAAATATAATCTGGGTTATTCAACTCTGGAAGTCCATCACTCAAATCATATTTTACATCAATTTTTATGTTGTACATATTTAAAGCGATTCGCCCTGGCTAGCCGCCGAAGTTTTGTAGAATCCTGCACGCAAGGCCGGAAAATGTATGGTTTACGTGTTTTATTTCTTTTGGAAAATCCTCTCCCTGGATGGGAAACGGTAGTTCGAGGAAAGCCAACTTTATACAAAAGAATATATCTATAGCTATGTAAAACTGGAAACTACAGCCTTGAGTTGGGTAAAACTTAAGCTAGCTGAACAGGTAATTGGCCTTGATAGTTTGATTAGTTTTCTTCTTTTATCAAACTCGGCCCAATCGGCATGCACTTAGCAAATATGGCATTCGATCGTTTGCTGAACCGGCGCACAATTTGACGCAACCTTTTGATGGGGCACATCAAATGAAATAATGAAAATCAAACTGCAGAACCGAAACAATTTTCCCAACAAATTATGACAGCCAAAGAGCCAAAGAACGTCGTCGGCGAAACGAACCAAAGAAAGCAATCAAAAGGGCCAATCATTCCCGGCCAGACCAGGCCAAGCCAACCCAGGCCAGCGTCGGGGCACACCAACATGGATGGGGGCACCGTCTCTGAGAGCAGCCGGGGGCAGGTCGTGAGTGCGCCGAGAACCAAGCACGGAATCACACGACGAAACAAAGCCAAAACAACAATAAATTGTTTTACACATTCTTCTTTTCAACAAGGGTGTAAGGGGTATTGCAATATTCCTATAAACTCTGCTATATAACTCCTATCGGAATAATCAGTCGAAAATTAAGTTCATATTAAGATATCTATATGATATATAGATCAAGATCTGCTCTTTGGGCAACATTTTAATTGCTCAAGTTTGATGTAGAACTTGGCAGTTACGAGTTTCTCAATAAGCCCTTTATATAGGTTTTTGTAAAGATATCTATACCAAACGTAGCTCCTGATATTTAAGCAAAATCTTAACAAAATTGGAGTACTATATCGTATATATATAATAGAAACATTTCAAAATAGTTCAGTTTTACAAAATATCTCAAGCAAATATCTTAACTTTTACGAGTTTCTCAAAAACCCTTTTACAAAAAAAGAAAAATCGGATTACTGTGTCATATAGTTCATGGCAAGAATTGTTCGAAAAACAAATGGTTTTTGTATGGAAAACTTTTCTATTTGTCAAGATATCTTAACAAACTTTGCATTCATGAGTTTCATGATACTTCTGACATATAAACCAAACATTATCAAATTCTGAATACAATATCTTACAGTTCTACGAGATAGATGACTCTGTATATAGTAAACTTTTTAGTTTTTGAATATATATACACCAAACTCAGTAATTATGAGTTTCACTTTGTACCAAACCTAACTGCAAAATCACATCGAAGCGGTCTCCTATATTTATATACCTCCTATTGGAACAATCTAGCTTAATAATATCATCTGCAAGGGTATTCCACGTTCGGCGTGCCCCAGGAATCCGTTCTTTCTAGTTTTTCTTTTCATTCTTTTTTTCGGCAGCGGAGGTTGGGGGAAATGTAATTGTACGTAGAGTAATATGTATATAATGGCAGCGGGCAATTGCCGTGTCTCGGAAAGGTGCGGCTTGCACCCGAGCAGGCACCGAGCGGGGCCGGAACAACTCGACCCCGAATCTGGAAAAGGTTACAGCACAAACACACACACATAAAAACACACAGAACAGTTGGAAATTAACACTTGTAGAACACTTGTAAGAAATAGACAAATATGTGAGTCCAGTAACCCGCACAACTCGGTGGCATTTTTTGGTGCCCATGTGCAAAGGTTCTGTGGGTTAGCCCAGAGGTCTTGTGAAGTCAGCGTTGCGTGCCAAAACCAAAAGCAGTTCCACTTGACGCCCATTCTAATGGGTCATGGGGCTGTACAGGTTCAGAAAGAACACATCTCCATAATTATTTACAGTGAAGAAAAAATCAAATCCTGGTCATAACTGAATGTATATATGAAAGCAGCTAAAAACTTTTGAAGAACCAATTACTTTAAATATTCTTTAAGTTAATTGATTGTGTTGTTTCAACGTGTTTGATGATTAGGGCAGATATAAGAAGTAAGAGATACAACATTCTGTTTTAAGCCACACATTTATATAGTATTGATCGATTGTTTACATAGTCTGAGTATCGAGCGTCGAATCGAATCGATTCTTTGTAGTCTGAGTAACTGAGCGTCGAACTAGCAGTCGAAAAGTTGTTGGTTCATAACTTCCAGAGACAATTCTTGAAATGTAGAGTTATTGCAAAGACGTATGGTGACAATTTTGAGTGAATTTCTATATGTCCGAACTGAACCCAAATTACATAAACGATTTCGATATCACATACAATTTCAACATTACTCAATGGACCCGAGCAAAGCCGGCTAATTTATTCTGGTATACTTATATAACACTATTTGCAGACGTCTGCGAACTAAATCAATTTCATATTACATTTTAATGTGGGAAACTTTTCTAGCTAAGCGCATGGTCAAAGGTCACCTGGGGCTGGGTCAATTTATCATGTAATAGATATATATGTATATGCTATATATTCAGTGAAGATTATACTTAGTTGTCTATAGGGTGTGAAGGCGCAACGAACAGGTTGCTGCAACGCTTCACGGCCGGTTGCAAGTCGCCCGTGTGTCGACGGCGTTCGACTGTGACCAGGTTTTAGGGATGGTTGCAACTAAAATGGCATTGAATGGATGGAGAGGGGGCTAATGCAAACTTTCTAGGCCCGCCCCAAAGAAGAAGAAGAAGAAGAAGAAAGAGATATAATAAAATTTAGCACTCACCCGAACAAAACAGAATGGCAACGCCTGCGGCTCATCGTCATCATCATTCTCCATGCTGGCGTTTTGTTTGTGCAACTTCGCTTTGGTCTCGTCTTCGGTGGCGCCTCCAGCAACGGCAACGGCAACGGCAACGCTGACATTGGTGCTGGTGCTGGCGCTGTTGGCAGCTGCATCCATTTTAAGAACGGCGGCACGTTGCGTTCGTTTCACGAGTTAATTATTTGTTGTGATTGTAACTAGCACGCGGCAGCTGCTGTTTGTAATTAACATGAGGATTAAACAGTGACTGCAATAAGTATACGCAGCTCGAGTACGTTAGGGTACTCATACGCGTACGAGTATGCGTGAGAGTATCGAGTACTTGTCGAGTAGTTCCAAGCACGATCGGGTACAAGTACGAGTATGCGTATGAGTATTGACTACAAGTCGAGTAATCCGAGTAATTCAAACGAACAATATTTCGCATTCTCTCTCTATCTTTTTCTCTATCTACCTGTTTCTCTTTTTTCGCAGTCTCTCGTTGGCGGCAAATTTCACTTTTTCCGCGGGGAAGCTTTTCAGTTTTCAGTTTCAGTTGCAGTTTTCATTGAATTGCCATTAAGCTTCATTATGTTGAGGCAGTAAAGAGAGGCATGCAACACACATAGGTGCACATACACGCCTTTAAATATCATCTACAAATCTATGCTCTATATGCAGCATAAGTGCACAGCTTCGTTAAATGGCTAGCGATAATATTACTAGCACAGTGCCCGACTGGCAAATACCCTATACTTATATCTTTAACGTATTGAGTAATAAAACATTTCTTCATACTGTCCGAAATTCAAACTGAAAGACATAGATGGCCTTTGCTGATCATTAATACATATGCCTTTGATGGGTTCGGCCAGTTACATACACACATAACATGCGTATACCCTTTTGTCTAGCTTTATTTAGTGGGTATCGTAATGCAATTGGCTCTTCTTGCTGTTGTTGTTGTTGTCGATTGAACAAAATAAAATATCGTGTCGTGTTTTTCACTCGTTTCTGTTTCTTGAAATGGGAAAGTTTATCTCAAACTCGGCACTTCTCGAATTCGTTCCGCTTTTCCGATTTATATGCTGTATGTATAGACACATGTATACAAACAACTCTCGTTTCAGAAATGGAAAATATATCAAATGCATTTGTGCTAGGTGCTAGCCTGTACTAACCAAATTCCAATCTCAATTCATTCGTAAATAAGCCATTAGCCACTTCATCAGCGCACTTATAATGCATATAGTTGATCATATCTGAGCAGCCTTATCGCTGATAGCTCAGATAATATGTGGTATATGCAGTCATGAATCATCCACATTGGCTAGAAAACAAAACTGCTGAATTGTTGTGAAACTGTCAGAAAGTCGCTTGATCTATTGTGTTTTTGTTTTTCTACGCTAACGATATGGTTAAATGCCTAAAAACAGTTTGCCTCCAAGTGTATAATAGAGGGTACTTTGATTTTGTCACGAAATGTGTAACACACAGGGGTAGACCTCTTGCCCTATGTCATATAGAAACGATCCGTCCAAGTTTATTCTGAGTTCTTCAATATATCTTTGCCAAAATTGAACTTCTATATCATATAGCTGTATTGGATGTTTCGCTGGAAAATTATATAGACTAATCTCAGCTATTTTGAGCATCACGAGTCTCCTCGCATATCCACAAGCCACTCAGCCTTATTGTAAGTTTACAAGGGCATTAGAGATTCGGTGTGCCTTAGATAGCCTCTCTTTTACTTGCCTATCTAGCTTTTGGCTTAACTGCACGTTTATTTATTCAATCTTATCATTTGTTCTGGACTCTTTTTTTGGCATTTTATTCATTTCTGGTTAATAAAACATGAAACATCTGTCAACGGCTGCCTTAATAAGTAAATTAAACATAAATTAAATACGCCTGGAACAGGTTAATGTGTCGGCACAACAAAAATTAACTTATTCCACACAGATTCGGAATTCTAAAATATTTAAATTTCCAATAAGATTTAAGTGTTTATTCAATATAAATACTCTAAAGTATTCTCTCTATATATATATGAAGTACTTCATTCAAAAGCTCGTGTCTTCCGGAAGTTTAAATTGAATTAATGTCCTTGCAGATGGTATCAGAGGAAAACATATCTGAAACCATAAGGCCTATATATTGCCAATCAGGACGACGAGTCAAGTTTCTAACCATCTGTTTCGGTTCTAATTAACTAATATTCTGTGAGGAGATTTATATCGCAGGAAACTTCAGGGGAACAGAGGAGAGAAAGAAATTATATTTAAAAGGATACGCTGAGCAAGCCAGACAATTGCGAGCTTAAGCTCCGAATTTAAGTAAAAATTGAGTAGAATTCATTAGAATATCAAAAAATTTAATAAGAAATAAGTGACTTTCAAACTGTTGCTGCAACAGATTGTGAACTTTCAACTGTATAAATTTGAGATATTTGCATATGTGTGACTGACAGTTGGCACAATTTCTGATATTATAAGAATCACACAATTATGTATACGCTAAGAGTTCACTATATCGAATGCGCACTGTACTTAGTTAATTGTGCGAGCATTGCCAATGCAATTGCTCTGTTTGAGAGCCTCTGACCCTCTAACCCAATCCATTTATTGTCCATACCTTTTCAGTTGAGCACACAAAAAACTAAATACATTTATTTGTATTTGTTGATGCTATTGTATTGCTTGTCGCTTTCTACGCGGTGGCATTTAACAAAAAGCGATGTGCAGCTTTAAGAATTTGCAGCAACAACAACAAAGGCAGCACCAACAGTGGCAGAAGCGGCAGCAACAATAGCTTCAGGTTCTATGGCCAGGTGGCGGGGGAGCTAACGGTACAGAGTTACGGGCGGCGTGACTAAACTGGTTGGCATTTTTAATTTGTTATTCTCTAGTGCCAACAATTGACACACATACAAGCACATCTATGTGTGTGTGTGTATATAGCCCAGATAAAAGTCTGATCAGACCTCGATCTTAATGCTTAATGCTAGCAGCTTCAATGACTTATTAACGTTTACTCGAGGACATGTCATCGAGCGTGTCGTGTAGCCCGAAAGAAGTTTGGTTGTCGTTAGACTGAAGCCAGAAATCTGTCATGCAAATGACAAAATATCGTTTAAGAATACACTACTGACATGTCCTGCAGGTGGACTTATTGATGACTTCCTCTAATGAACTAGCCTACCCCATCATCCCATTAATCAAGCTGCTTAGGTCACAGTTTGAAAAGCACTGATCTGGCATAACGGTCTTAGAGTCTTAGAGCAGAACAGATGAGCAAAAAGACTCTTATTGTCTGATTTACATGGTACACGGAGTATTGACAGAGTATTGTACAGTCGGTTATGGCCGAATGTAATGTTCTTATTTGTTGGCTTTAAGCGCGGATGCTTCATTAACTTTTCCACATCATCAGCAACAACGACAACAACAACAACAACAACAACAATAACGACGACAACAACAATCACATTCACCCACAAAAATAAATCGTTTGCTCGTTTTCGCGTTCTCTTTTTGCCGCAACTACGATTTTTACCATTTGCATTTTGGCTTTGCGTATTTGGAGTCCGAAGTTAACAATATTTACCTTCCGCTGTTCATGAGCTGCTACAACAACAACAACAACAACAGTTACTGCAACAACCACAACGGTAGCAGTAGCAGCAGCACAGCACAAACTATAACAACAACAACAACAACAATAACAGCACTTGTTGCCCGTTACCTTTTGATATTTCTTCTCGTTTTGTTTGTTTTTCGTTTTTTTTGTCGTGTTTTTTTTTTCGCCGTATTTATTAAATAAACAAAAGATTTCTAATTTGTATGACACTCGCACCACTCACACGCTCTGTGTGGCTGCTGCAGCAGGTGAGTTTATGTTTCAACTCGATTTTATCTGACGCAGTCGTTGTTATCGTTATTGCACTTTCCACAACTGAAACAAAACAAAACACAAAAAAAAATGCAACAGGTTGGCTACCTAAAACGACCAACTGTTAACTGCGTATGTTGCGCACGCTCGACTCGAATATTAAGCTACGACTGAAATTACAGCGGGCTTAGTGTGGCCAGCTCTGCCCAATAATATACCACTCTGGTATACATTTCTTTGATGTTATCGATTGCTAAGTATAAGAGCGCATGACTACTTGTTCAAAATGTTGTTCATTTTTAGCACCTTTGACGATAACGGTTAAGCAATTCAAACATGCTCTTTGGCTACCAGCTTTACTTATTGTTTATGTCTTCAACGATTGATTAAACCATAATGTTATTTGTTCATATATAAGTGACCATTTGGCTTTCCATCAAAAAACTAAATAAGCATATTTAACTAACTGTGAAAATTGTATAATCCTAAATTAGAGCATTTTTGATAAAACATAAAAATTTTAAATAATTTGTAACGCCTGGCGTAAGACGTACAATAAGTTGCAATTTTAAGCATTTTTTTGACAACGTGCATGACTAACCTTGACTCAATATTAAATCCTAACGTAAGTTTTGCCTGATCTCTATATCATTGAGAAAATCTAGTATGTATTTGCAAACGTATCTTTTCTTTTTTACAAACTACATTTGGGATTCCTGTTCGAATGGCAAACGGTCACACGGTGCCACAGCTGAGCTCGCAATAAAAATAAATATCGAATTTGTGTTTGTGTGCTGCAGTCCAAATAGTGTTTTCTAATGTTTTGCTGCAGTTTAAACTAGGTAACGCAGTAGCTAAAAACTTCAAAAAAAAAAATGTGCACACTTTAAACCGTACAGAAATAGCCAAACGTGTTAAGCTTTCAATAGTTAATATCAATCGACTGTTTTGTATGGCGCTTTGTTTTGAATTTTTATATAATTTGCATTTTATTCTAAAAAACATTTGCGCACATACACACAAACGGAAGATATAGTCGGACGCGAAGTTGCCTATGTACATACATACATACATATGCCCGCCCACACACATACGTAAAATGAATTTTGCTCAGTGCTTGTGTTCTTATACTCTTGTACTGGATATTTTGATTTGTTCAAGCAATATGTGCGTTTTAAATTAATGTTTACTGCTGATTTTGCTTAAGTTAGTGTATTTAATAATTGCCTTGCCCCGTCAGTAAAAAGAATATTGCAAACTTACATACATATATTCTCAAAGTTTTAAGACGCAGTTTGAGTGTCACTGCGCTGAAGCACAGTTTGAGAGCCTTTGGAAGCAATTTTCATTAACACCTGTTTTTGCATGTATCGCGCAGCGTTTTTTTTTTTTTTTAGTTAATGTATTGAAATATATTTTAGAAATAATACACATATATAGTTATAGTTAATATAAAAAATAAAACTGCTGTTTTATAGAAAAAACTAAACATATTTGAATAGCATATATTGAATGGGTCAAAATCGTAAAGCCTATACAAGTATATATATATATATATATTTAATAAGTAAAAATAATGAAAAAACTAATATCTCAAAAAGAAGAGTGTAAGATAATGCTCACTTGTAGAGCTCGACTTCTAGTCAAATATTTGTCCAATAATATATGCAAGGGTATTCAATGATCGATGCGACAACGATCAACATTTTCTATATAGTATAGGTGCTTTTGTTTTATTTCCCTGCTCATATCTACGGCGGGGCCATCACATTTGGCAATTGTCTAATAATACCAATGAACCTCTACATATTTATGCACCCCACCTCAACCCTCATCAACCGTCCCACTGATCATCCCACCACGCCACATACAGTGAGGCATTTGAAGATGACCGACAAGGGACAGAGGCACAGTGTACATCGGTGCATCAGCAACTATCCGTACAATGCGGGCAGCGGAAGCGCCCAGGCGAATCTGGAGGCCAGCTGCAAGAGTAAGTGGTGGCGCGATTTTTAAGTTTATCGGCAATTGCAGGCGATATGATTTGTGGCTCGCTTGTAATCTGCATTATAATTATTATATTTCGATTTATTTTAGATTCGTTGGACTTTGTGCAACGCCTGAATCTGTTGAGCACGTTGAGCGTGCACAACGGTTGTGTGAATACGGTTAATTGGAATGCCAGCGGAACGCTCATTGTATCCGGCTCCGATGACAATCATCTGGTCATCACGGAGACCAAGAGCGGTCGTGTGGCGGCCAGGACAAAGACTCAGCACAAGCGTCATATATTTAGTGCACGTTTCATGCCGCACTCAAACGATCTGGCGGTCATCTCGTGCTCCGGCGAGGGTATTGTGTTGCACACCGAATTCCTGGCACCCTACGGCCCCGGCAGAAGCATGGAGGAGGCGCTCATTGGCGAGTCCGATCGCTATGCCAGTTTCTTTGATTGCCACGCCTTTGGCAGTACATACGATGTCCTACCGCTGCCCGACAGCCCACGCATGTTCCTCAGCTGCGGCGAAGACGGCACCGTCCGTTGCATTGACCTAAGGGTGAGCAGTCGCTGTGCCGAGTCCGTTTGCGACAAGCACATCTTTATAACGGCACCGTGCGCGGTGACAGCAATGGATGTGGCGCCCATTAATCATTATAATGTTGCCATTGGCTGCTCGGACTCCATAGTTCGGCTCTATGATCGCCGCATGCTCTCCGCTGGCATCGATCGGGAGCGCATCACTTGGCCATTGAAAGCTTATCCCATACCGATGAAGTATACACGCCGGCATTACCGTCCCACCTGCGTTAAGTTTAGCGCCGACGAATCGGAACTGCTGGTCAGCTATTCCATGGAGCAGCTATATTTGTTTGATATGCATCATCCGGGCTACAATGATGCCGAGCTGCTACGCAGCGGCTGTTACACGCCCAAGCTGCGGCGCGACAATGATCCAGAGCCGCAAATGCCGCGCCTGCGTTTTCGCGGCGATTGGTCCGATACAGGCCCCAATTCCATGGCCAATGCCGAGCACGGTTCCAATCGTCCCAATGTCGGTCAGGCGCGTCCGCCGCTTGAGCCTGGTGTGCTGAGTCGACTCAGCGATGAAATCTTTCGCATGCTCAATTCTCAAACACGTCAGCTACGTGCCCTAAATCCGAGCACCAGCAGCAGCTACTCCACCCCAAGGACACCGGCTCATATGTCCTGGCAAGACGCTGTTCTACGCACCCTGGATAACCAGAGGGAGACCGCAATAGCTCCCAACAACAGCCTACTTAGTAGTGCCGCCAATGCACCCATTCCCATAGAGTCGCCGCCAGCAGTTGCGAACTCGTCAGCTGATGGTAAGTGGAGCAGTTCGCTGACCGTTGCCGTACGCAAAACACTGAGTACGAAAAGTATTTGGACACAGCCGTGTGTATTAAGTAGTTAATAGTTAAGCTCTTAAATAGTGTATTAAATGACTGGAAATACATATCACCTCCTTTCATGATACCTACGCTAAGTATGTAGACATTCATATAGAAAAGGAATCCGAATTTATACTTAAATACTTATTTACTTGCCCAGGAGAACACACATGCACGATTATTGTATTGTCAGCTATCAATAAGACCGAGACGGCAGACTTATGCATGCAATGAGAAAGAGTGAGATAGACTGCATGAGAATATATTAGAGTGAGAGTATGAACAAACATAAATAGATACAGCACAACTGGCTAATGCATATACAAACGTGCAAAACGTACCTAAACTCTTGAGAATCGCATAGTAAGGGGTTTTTAAACAGACGTTGACGTGCTGTGCATTTGGTAAAGGAGACAACAAACATATATTTGTATTTACTTACTCGTACACAAATATATACAACTTGTAATAATAATCCAAAAAGAAAATCAAAACCTGCAACGCTTACTTGAATGAATGAGAATCGAATAGTACGGCACTATTAAAAAAATATATTTACTTTGAATTTGCATAATATGCATTCGTCAATACAAATACATATATAAAATACATTTTCCTTTTATAGACGCCACACCTGCTGAATCCTTGAATGCTGAGCCTGCAGAAGTGAAGAGCGACACTGTGCTGGAACCTGCTAGGGAGAATAGGCAAGATCGTCAAGAGCTGAACAAATTTGATTATGTGAAAATGTCGTTTAGCGGACATCGGAACTCGCGTACCATGGTGAAGGGCGCCTGTTTCTGGGGCGACGACTTCATTATGTCCGGCTCGGATTGCGGCCACATCTTTGTCTGGCAACGGCAGACGGGCAAAGTGGTGAAAACGCTGCTCGCGGATCATCGCGTAGTGAATCGTGTCCAGCCGCATCCGACGCTACCCTATTTGGTTAGCTCGGGCATTGATTACAACGTGAAGGTCTGGGCGCCAATTTCACCAAAGGCCATCTTCGACGAGAGCGAAACGGCTGAGGTACATGTGCCACTATATATATATATATATATAATATTGTTTATTTATACGATAATTTATATTTGCAGCTGATCAGGAGCAATGAGATAATGCTAGTGGAGACACGCGATACTATAACGGTACCTGCTCAGATCATGATACGCATTTTGGCCAGTCTACATCAGTATCGTCGCCTGATGCACGCCTCGGGTGGATCGGCATTCGGCATGGAAAATAGGCGGAACCGTAGAGACGCTGTGCGCGTGGCTATGAATGCGGAGAATGCGGGAGTTGTTGCTGTTGCTGTTGATCACAATAATGATAATGCAGCTAACGATATTGATAATGAGAATGAGGACAACGATGATAGTGACAGCAACCACAACAGCAACAGCTCGAATGCAACTTAAACCAATCTAGTCAATATCAAAAAAAAAAGCTTATCAATGAGTGTAAACTATATATTAACTATAAATGTATGTTTAATCGGCGCTGCATCGGCTACTCCCAGTATGTATAAATATATATATACGCCCCATTCCCTCCTGCCGTTAGTTGTGTCCGAAAGAAAATACCCTCACACATTCCCCAATATAGTTATGAAATGTATATCCAATGCACTATCAGCGCCGACGTCTAAATTGTGAGACTCAACGAGCATACAAGAGCGTATGTGATGCATATAACGATATTTAAACATTTGTTCCTTTCTAATTTGTAAATTATTAAACTCAAAACGTAAATACTTTTTGGTTTGCTATTGCTTTAGTGGCGCCACGAAATAGGATTGAATTCAAGCAAATATCCTCTATTCCGATTGCTCATCTATTTTAAATACCTATTTAAAACGAACTTGGTTGTGTATACGAAATAGAATATTATATGTTTTTATTTCGTTTCGAAAACAGAGTATTATATTCGACAAAGCATATATTAATATCATACTTTGTTTTTTAAAACAAAGTAAAGAATCGTATGTATTCTATTTCCATATGCTGTATTGAGTGGCAACATTTTTGTTAGGGTTCGGACCAGGTTAAAGTGATTGTTTGTTGGGTCAATAAGAATAAATTAAATGTTTGTTGATTGTTTCTAAATCATATGAGATATATGTTATATATTTATGTATTTGTCGTATATATATATAATAGATATATACATACGTACATGCGATTAAGTACTCTACGCTTAAATGCTAAACAACTATAAGTAAAATGCACTATTTACAAAAGTCAACTGATATTATTTACATCGTACAGCATCTATCAAATATCATGTTTGTTTCCTGCTTATTCGGGGAAACAAATTTTTGAAAATAACGTCTAGTTAAATACACATTACACGTTCTAAACAATATGTTGCACACACTGATCTTTTAACAATTGTTTGAATAAATATGATACTTAAATGTTATTACAACTACATTAGGTGCGACGCAGGCCCAGACTATCAATGGTCTTCGTTATCGCCATATCATTTATTTCCGCCTCCTCGGGCTCCTGATTTTTATTAGTACTACTACTACTATTATTATTATTATTAGTGCTACTGACGCCGCCATTGGCACTCGCGGCTCCACTGGCTGCGACAGTTGGCTCCGCGGAGCGTGCCGCATACGTGTCGGAGAATATGTGGGCCAGTGCCACATAGTGGCCATATCTGTTGCCAATCGCTGTAGCTGAAGATGTAGCTGTAGCTGTGCCGCTCACGCTGGGCGCCGCAGTAACATTCGGCTGCTGCTCCTCCGGCTGTTCCATGCGTGGGCGTCGTATTGGAGGCGGTTGTACCTCCTCCTGGTTAGCAGCTAGTGCTGCTGCTGCTGCTGCTGCTGCCTGTGTGCGCGCAATGCTCTCACTGCTGGCAACAGCATGGGGCACGCATAGGCCATGCCGGGCGATTGCTGCGTCAATGGCATTGCGCTCAAGATCGAAAGCGGGCGCTCGGGAAATCGCCTCGGTGCGATAATGTCGCACAATTTCCAAGTTATGGTTAACATAATTCTCGCGCTGCGCCTCTGACAGCACGGCTGTGTGCCAAGCCTGCAGCTGTTCGTCTGTCATATTGTTGACTACATATTTTCACATGTATAAAGATATACACAAAATAATAATGTGCACAAATGGCCATGAAACAACAAAAAAAAAAAAGTGGAAAAAACAAATATGTATTACATGAAAAGGTCCTTGTGCAAATGCTGGATTTGCCCAAATTCAATTTTAACTGAAGCATCTACTCACAGTTGCAGCTGGCATTGGCCCCTCGCCTCAACGCCAAGTTTTCCATTTTGATTTTTGGCCAGTTAAACGAATGTAAATAATTTTGGCATACAAATGTGTCTATTGCATACACAAATGCATTAGAGATGTGCGATTAATTATCGATACGCCAAACGTCAAGCATCGGCAACACTTGAATACCTATCGATACTTGTTCGTTATTCACGCTTCGATACCGATGCCCCGAAAGCTTTATTTGTGCATTTTGTGTGCAATTAAATTTGCTTTATTCATTTAAACGCAAAATCAATACGCTAAGCTGCATTTATATACGTCAATATTCGATGATGATAAAATAAATATTCATAGAAGATACGAAATATTTATTTCCAAAAGAGCCTAAAAACTGGCTTGCATATTTGAAAACATGGCCGAAAAGTACCGTTACGTTTAGACAATTTGTGAGGAGTAGTTGGAAAACCTAGTAAAAGGAATTTTCGTTTCTCAGATACAAATATAGTCATGCATTTAAAATACCTTTGCAATTCTGAAAAAGAAACCTTTAATTTCAAAAATATGAAAAAATTAATTTTGGTTAATTTCAAATTAAATACTATTATAGGTCAAATTTAGTTGGGTATATTAAAAATCCAACAAATATTATAATAGAATTTAAACTAAAAACTAAACCAAATGCAATGGAATAAAAATCTACCGAAAGCTAGGTTTGAATCAAAACCCGGAATACAGACTAGACTCAACTAAACGAACTGAGCCCAAATGGAAGCTGGTTCGAACCACTGACCACATGTGCTTTGGGATTTTAATGTAAATTCATTTTGAGAAACATTTGAAAGCCTGACCGTCAACGATCAAAGATCATATCCGTTTGCCCAATGGCCAAAACTGAAGGAAGATATTCGCGTCACGCTTGGATACATTCACCCATTCACAATTTGCAATTGCAGGCTGCGTTAATTTTTCCGCCTTGTTTGAGGCCTGTCGATTGCATGTTGTAACAGGTTGGCTTGCAGCCGGGAATGCAGGCTGAGCAGTCATGGCAGCCACTGCAGCAGCAGCAGCAGCAGCAGCAGCAGCGGCAGTAGCTGATAAAAGTATCTCGAACGTAAAATTCTTAACGTTTCGTTTTGGAATTTATTTGCTTTTTTTTTTTTTTTGTGTTTTTTGTTTTCTTTCTTGGCTGCGTCTGCGGCAGCTTTTCTGGCGGCCCATTTCGACGGGCCAAGTCGAACGAGCGATTGGGGTTGGACCGACTGCATACGGTCTGTGTTGGGTTTCGGGGGGTTCCCGGGGTTCAGGGCCTGGGTCTGTTACTGCGCGGAATGCATTCACGTTTTTTTTTTTTTTTTTTTTTGCCTTTCGCATTTTACATTTGCCTAGCCTGCTGTAATTGGCAATGAAAAATTCCAAGTGTTTTTCAAAGTACTCTCCGGGATGGCCCAATATAAGCCCAACTAACTAACAAAGAAAGCAATTTCACAACATATACACACACACACACACACACATACATGGGTAAATACTTTGTAAAAGTAATAAAACAACAAAACAATTTCAAAATCGCACAATTGCAGAAAAACTGAGAGCTAACGTAGTTGTCTAAAGACCTAAACCCTCCCCCGCCCACCCCCACCCAACTTGCCAACTTTGTGGGGCTGCCAAACGAAAACATTTCCAACTGTTGCTATTGCCATATTCCGTAACAAGGTACAGCAAAAAAAAAAAAAAAAATAAAACAAAATAAAATTAAATTAAATTAAAAAAAAAAAAAAACAAAAACAAAAACTAAAGTCGTATTAAAAATTCCAAAGTGCATAAGCAAATATTAGTGCACAGTGCCTGCATTTTGCTCATTTAATGTAAAACATTTTTTTGTGCCATTTACACGAGAGAGAAAAACAAATGCATTAACAAAATTTACATATATAGTTTTATATTATTACTAATTGAATACACATATGCAGAGGGGGGACTCACAGAGTTGTTTATTTATATTCCTAAATGTTCATATTAAGACAAGTAAGTGTCTGGAGTACCAGGCTGGGAGATACCCTCAATCCAGTACTGAGCTTCCGGTACACATCTTTTTCGCCCTCCCCTCTTACGTTCATCTCCAAGAACACATTCATGTGCTTCTTCTTGCCTTGCATTCTAGATAAACTTCGGTGCTTAAGGTCCGATCTTCATTGAATGTGTGTACATTCTTGAACAAATTCGGCGCTTAAGGTCCGATCTTTATCAATTTTAGGGTCCAAAATAGCATCGAACATTTTGTATATACCAAAACGCTTGGCTCTACATTTAAAAATCTGCGATTTCGAAAGGAATGTTGGAGAGTTCATAAAAGTGATATATTCCTTCTCGTATGCCATACGAGAACCTACAAGCCAAGTTGTTGTATGTAGCGTTTCTAATATTCGAGTTGTGCTTTAAAGAAAAAGTCTTGAAATTGTTATTTATTGATATTTAGAAAACGGTGGCAGATATCAGTAAAAATATGCTATACGGGTTCTGTATGTGGCATATATTAAAAATTTCAAGTGTCTGGCATTTGTAGTTTTCGAGATGGATGGTTTCTTACAGCTGGACGGACGTGAAGACGGGCTAGATCGACTCAGTTCGTCCACCTGAACAATTTTATATATACTTTAAGGGTTCGGGAATACTTTCTTCTGCCCGTTTCAAGCACTTAAGCCCAAACGGGTTCGGGGTGGATTTATTGTTCCAAGAGGATCTTTTATCAAGATATAAATATTGTTCCCCCTTCAACTTAGTATATTAAATTGATGGTAAAAACAATTTGCAAATGTTCCAAGGCGATGTCTTTTGCATGAACCGGTTCGAATATAGTTTCGTTTGTTGTTCAGCAACTGGTTCGGTGCTTGGTAAAAGAACAAAGTAATAATAAAAGCATTTCCCAGTTCGAACCGGAGCAACGGAACCGAACCGGAACTAGACACAAGATTCGAATTGATTCAAATAGATCAAAATATTGGCTCACAATATGGAAAAACCCGATGTGCTTTTGTGCTTATGAATTCAGTGCCAGATATTATAATGTAAGGTCAAATTTATGCACACGAATGTACACGAAAATACATTCAAGAGAAATGTGTAAATACAAATGAATGAATCGAATCTTTTATTTAAATGCGAAAGTCTTTTTGGCTAGACTCTTGATGCTGTTGCTTAGTATGATCATGTGTGTGTGTGTGTGCGTGTGTGTGTGTGTGTGTTCATGTAGAATATGGGTGTATGTATCTGAATATCTCATCTTGAATTTTGTACTCGTATTTTATTCGTTTTCATCTTGTCTTGTCTTGCCTTGTCTTCTGCTGCGTTTATATATAGACAAACCGACTGCGGATCGACATCGACATCGACATCGACCGTCTGCACACATGCTGAGTTTTTTTTTTTTTTTTTTTTTTTGGTTTTTTTTTTTTTGTGTTCACTTTCAACACACTAGCCTTAATGTCTAATGATGTTTTGCCCCTTACACGCGTGAAGTAGAAAATTGTTGGATTTATTTTTAGCCCAATCAAATAATGAACAAACCTTTCGAGAACAAATCGGCGTAGGCCCTCGCGGCTGAGCGGTGCTATCAATGGAGGTCACTGCCGCCCCAAAATAAAATACAAGAAAATATAACAGTATATTTGCCATTCGCTTAGCCAGTGGGCAAATACACATACATATGTACATATGCACATGCATGCATGCGCATATGCATTCATTGTGGGCGGGCTGGGTTAACAAAGAAGTCAGCGGCAGCGTCGGCGTCGGCGTCGACGTCAGACAATGAGTTACAACTGTCAAGTCGATTGCCGTTAAATCGCTCAAGACGGCGACGGCGACGGCGACGGCGACAGAGACGTCGACCGAGACGCACGTTGCGTGGCGTGCGCAGTTTGGCGTCGTTTGGCCAAACACGAAGCTGAATTGCCGAGGCGCGCGCTCTAGGCGACACAATCCCAACCCTCGGGGTGTCCACCAGCCACTAGCTCATCATGCGGTTGAGAGCCCTGGTTGAGTTAGTTCCAATTGCTAACATCTTGATTTGACTGTGCGTGTGCGTGTGCGTGTGTGTGTGTATTATGGCCATTTCATAATTTTTAGTTTGTGTGTCTTTGATGCATCATCCAACCGCCACCCAACAGCCCTGCCCCACAGTTGCGGGCGCAACGCTTACCGCAACGCGCTCATTGTGTGCAGCACTCTCATCATGCGTTCCCACTCAATTGCTTGAGCTGTTTAATTGAGTGAGTGGGCGCTGACAAACAGCTGTTTTCGAGCGAACCAGCAACATGCAGAGATGGCGGCAAATTACAAACTTTGCCAATATGCGCAACAATGTCGATGCTAAGGCGCTTCCCTACCAGCCCCCGCACACCCTACGCTATAAATTCTCATCCTTCACATGGCACTCTTGCGCCCGGTCCCCCACCTCATGTAGTTGCATGTCGCACCCCACTAGGTTCTATATAAATATACATATTTGTGTGTGTGTGTGTGTGTGTGTGTGTGTGTGATGTTTGGTTCAATTTATAGCAATTAATGCATTGGAGGCGTGCATTTTAAATGCCTATGCCCAGTGACAATTTAATGGGGTTCAACAAACGCAAATTTTCATGCACGTTGCAACACACACACACACACACACACACACACACACACACATGCATAATAACGTGCAACGCATATGATTTATGAATGAACAATTAATCAAACCTTCCAAAGGCTCCAAACCGGTTTCGAACCGAACCGCGAACCAGTTCAAGCCAGAAATTCACAAGGCGAAACTCAAAATAAAATTGGCTGCTATTTATATAATTATATTTTACTGGTTTTAATTCAAATCTGCCTTCGAACATGTGAACAGCTCACGAACCGAAACCAAGGACGCGAACCGTGAACCGAACCACCGACAATTTAGTTTTTGCAGCCCTGAAGTTTTCCAAGTAACAGGCGCAGGCAAATAGACAATTTACAGTTTTAACTGGCATCGGTCACACATCAGAGGAGCAAGTGTCCTTGTTTAAATATCTCAGATTCCTGTTGAATATACATATAATTAATTCATGAGCTTTACTAATTAGTCCCTGGCATTGTAACGAAGTCAGCTTTAGGTCAGAGCCGGCGCCAAATTGTCAAATGATGAAACCAAAATAGAAATGGAAAAAAAAAAAAAATGATTTGTGTTAAGTGCCGCGTTGAGAGAGCCTGGCCATAGGCACACACAAGTATCTTGCAGGAGCTGCACACACACGCACGCACATGCAATTGCGCTCATTTCTTGAAACTCTCTCTCGCTCGCTCTTTCTCTCTCTATCGCTCTGTTGAGATGAGTGGAGGCTGAGTGAATTTGTGGTGGGTTCAGAGCGTGTCGCTTACACCAAACCGTTCCGTTGATCGCGACATGATTTGACATCACGAAAACAGTTGATCACAGGACATGCTAGACCGTAATTAATGATATCCTTTCGAAGGATATGATTGAGGTTACGTAATACCTGCAATACGTATGTGCGTATGTATGTACTTTAATAGTTAACCAGTTATGACCCATTTTACTTTAGTTTTTATATGTATGTATGTGCAAGTGTATGAATTCCTGTATGTGTGTGCGTGTGTGTGTGTGTGTCGGATTGTATCAATAGCTAACCAATTGCACTTAAAGTTTTTCAATAGCCTCAACCGTCACGCTGCAAATTTAAAACAACCAATTTTGAATTAGTGCTCTACTCCTCGATTCTCATAAATTAAATTAAGGACCGCAGGTTTGCTTGACTTGACTATACGTATTTTTTTTTGGTGATTTTTTTGTGTGCGTACATGTTTGTACGTATGTATAAATGTATGTATGTTGGTATGTATGTATGCTTGCATGTGTGTATGTATATATGTACATATATATATGTATGCATGTTTCCTTGTATCGATCATTAACCAAGTCTAATGCATTATTTTTAATAACTCCTGCCGTTGCGTTGCCTATAAAATTATATAGCTCTTTTTTTCAAATAATACTCTACTATTCGATTCTCAGAAAATCAAATAAGGCCTGCAAGTTTTATACGTTTAATTATAAATTTTTTGTTGTTAACAAGTTTTGTTTATGATATACTTGCGTTGGTGAATAATATACTTTATGCGTGTATATGTATTTGTGTATGTATTATGGACTATGTAATGCCCTACTTCGCGATTCTCAAGAATTAAAATAAGGCTTGCCGATGTTCGAGACTTGATAAAAGATTGTTTATAATGTGCGAATACTCAAATCAAACTAATACTATTTTGTATAGTAATGAGTATAGTTCTCTATTTAAATTACTTTAAATTGTAATTGAGCATGATTTTTATTAAACTCTGAGTGGTTATAAACAAAAAAATGTGCATACATTCATGCATATATGCATGCATGCATGTTCATGAATTCTTTTTAGTGTATCACAAATTTGTGGTACGCATAAACCTGCTCATACGTTAGCACATACATACATACATAGAAATGTAGTTATGGTGAACCGTGCCACAGCAAGTGTTCTGCTCGTACTCTTATACAGTCGCCTCAAAGCAGACCGCTCAACCTGAGGCAGGCCAGCAACAACATGTCTTTGAGCGAAACTCATTTCGGCAGCTAACCAGAACAACAGAACAGCAAAGGCAACAACAACATTGAACAGAAACAGCGGAAGCTGATTCATGCGCTGTGCGCACTCCACTCGCTCGCTCCCATGCGGTAGAGACAGCGGCAGCATTCTCTCACTCGCCATGTCTCGCTCTATCGTACTGTGTCACTCTCTTTCTCGCTCTCACACTCGTATTTTGCTCTCGGCCGCGTGTACTCCATTCAGCTGGTGGCGACCAACTCGGTGAGTAAATTTGCTGTATGTGTATATAGACATGTATGTGCGTATGTGTGAGTGTGTCGCGCGCATCGTATCCAACAAACTGTTGGGGCTCGGTCTTCGGGCATAGCTCGTATGCTGCTCTGTGTGCGAGCGTCTGTATGTGTTTGCTTCTGCTTGTGTGCCTGTGTGGGTAGGTTGGCAGTTTTACTGCACGGCTCGCTCGCGCGCAATGAGCGCTTTTGCTGTTTTAATTTTTGCCTGAAATACATTTTGAGCTAATTTCGTATTGGTAGTTTTGTTTATACCGTCGGTTGTGTTGGCGTCACATTTTGTATGCGAAAGCAAGCGCAGCACGTAGTTAACAAATTTAAATCAAATAGCCAAATTGCTTAGACAATATCTATAGAAAATTTCTTTTAACTTATTTACATGCATATGTATGTACAATATATGCATATGTATCTATGTGTCTCGGTGTGTGTCTGTGTCTACATTAAAAGCACATTTAGTCTTTGACTCTCCGGCCCGGAGCACTGAGCGGCGTGTGTAAGAAAAGCGTTCAAGAAAAAAAAAATGACGAAAGAGTATCCAATCAGAAACCGCATCCCAATTAGAATCATCTGTTAAGATACATGAAAACTTACACATTTGCCAGCGCGTGCCGCCTACAGGCGTAGGGCAAAGCAAAAGTGTACGAAAACAAAATTACACAAAAAGCAAAGCAAAAGAAATTAAATTGAATTCGCAACGGCAGCGGCAGCGGCAGCGGCGGCGGCGTCGGCAACGGCAACGGCAACGGCAGCAGAAGCGCGAAAAACCAAATTATTATTGCATATAAATATGTGCATATGTATATAAAGTAACTGTGTGCTGCGCTTCATAAGAGTGTGTGTGCGTGCGTGTATTTTTGGTGCTAATACATGTATATACGACAAGCATTTGTTGTTTCTCGGCACACACACACACACACACGCACGACAACTAATTTTTTGTGCATTTTTTTTTCCGGTGCGTCCTGTGACAGTCGTTGATTTTTTTTTGTGATATGACGCTGCAACGCCAGCACAACTGTTGCACCCAGCTAAATCGGCGACAATACGCCCAACAGGAATAATAGCAACAACAAGTAAGCAGCAGCAGCAGCAGCAGCAGCCGTCCAGAGATTGCGCGCCTTTTTTGTTGTAACGCGCGTCTCTGCATAATAAATGAAAGGAAAAGAACAATAATAGCTAAACACATGTTGATGTTGTTCAAATTTCAATTTGGTTAAAGCAAAGCAAAAGGCGCGCCCAGATAAGATACAGTTAAACGGAAGAGCAGCAAGAGCAACAGCGGCAGAGGCAGCGGCGGCAGCGGCGGCATCGGCGGCTACATCTGCAAACGAGAGAAGAAGAAAGAAATGCTTACAGCAAAATAAGAAGAAGAAGAAGCATAACTAGAATAGTGCTGTCGCCAAAGAATATGCGACTGTCACACACATACGTGTGTGTGTGTGTGTGTGTGTGAGTGCGCGCAATTGTTACATACCAACACCTGCAGCGCGTAAATGAAAGCAAAACAAAAGCGAAAACAACAACAGCCCACAACCAAAAACTCACAATGTTATACATGCTTGTAAAGTGGCATTAAATTGCAACAATAACAAAATTCGACAGCAGCAGCAACCAACAACAACACATGGCAACAGCGCCCATCAAGTGTCAATAAAACAACAACAGCAACAACAAAAACCAACAGAAAGACAAAAAAAAAAAAACAAAAAAACAAACACACACACACAAAAAATCTACACAAGCAGCAGAAGGTTGCTCGAGCGCTGCGGAGCTTCGAACTCGAACTCGAAATTCGAATTTCAGTTTGTCTTACACCGCCGCCGGCGGCAATCTTCAAATTTTTGTGTCAACGCTGCACTTTTCGAACCCGGCCCTCAACACCAAGAACCAAACGCCCCATCCAGCCCCCACCCCGCACCCGCGTGCCAACGCGGCTAACGGCATTTTCATATTTCAATTTAATTATTTGTGTGTGAGTGTGCTTGATATTTTTTTTTTTTTTTTGCAATTTTTTTTCTATAATTGTTGTCAAGTGAATGGCGCAAAAGCGAAAAGCAGTGCGAATGCAGTTGTGAATCAATCAAATCCATCAACAACAATCGCCGCATCAATTCAGCAACTCCAACGGCAGCTTCATGTCTGTATCAACACAAGAACAACAACAACAACAACAACAACAGCAGCAGCAGCAACAGCAACAATAGACATTCACTACGGCAACAAGCAACAACAACAACAACAACAACAACAACAACAACAACTACAACAACAACAGCAACAACAACATGGATTGTGATTATTCAAAATTTCTGTACAAAAGTAAGTAAAATTCTTAAATACACTGCAAAAATGTTTGTTTAAGGTTTGAACTATGTATATTTGTGGGAGTGTTCACTGTACTGCCAGCTAAAAGATATATTGGAAGACAATATATAATTTTCTTTCTTGTTTCACAAGCAGACTCAAAATCTCAAGTCTGAAAATTTGCTCAACTTCGATTTGTTCTTATTTTCAAACAGAATTTTTATTTTGTCCGAAAACTCCCGCCTTTTAAATGCAAATTGTGCGGCAGTCAAATTGAATTCTGTGTGCATATTTAATCGCAATCAAAGAACAGAAACGAATTTTTGGCAGTGCTGTGCTGCGAGCAGAAGCTAGTGCAAAAATCGAAAGCCCAAAAATGTTGCTAATCAGAAACCCGTCGGATGATTCATATACGGCGGCATATCGCATTACATCAGCGGCAGCTATCGCTTAATCTGATGCGTGGCTATTGTTATCAGCACAGAAAAACAAAAAAAAAAAAAGAAATGAATAAAAAAAAAAAAGAGAAAATAAATAACGATAATCTCTTTGATATGGTATGGTACATAAGTGTATGCGAAAGCACGATCAGACTTCAGCTGCAACTTTACTTCGGACACACTCTAGCCAAGGGCAAAGAATTTATTCTGAATTAAGTTTAACAATCAGTTAAACTAGCTGTCAAAATAACTGTTTGACGTTGCCACATATTTCGGGATTATATATAATCCGTATGTGTTATTTGTTACGATAAATTCAATATTTTTTTCCATTCCCTTTTGTGGCACATTCGTAAACGTTTTAACATGCATTTCATTTGTTAAAAACCTTCGTTTTTTTCTCTTCAAAACGAATTCGTGTTAGCGGCTTGGGAGGTAAAGCTTTTGACAATTCCTTGTGTCATATTCTTAAATGTTTCGCTGCGCCACTGGTTACAATTAGGTTGTAAGTACTCTTAGCAGTATGGGCACTTCATTGATAGGTAATAAAGTTGGAAAACGGCCGAAAAGAAGCTCTATCAAATCAATTAATTAATCAACCAATCATTAATGGGAAATAGGATGCTTATTGACAAAGCAGAGCTGGGAAGAATTTTCCAACTAGCTTTTCTTGTAGCTTTAAGAATAATATGTTATCAAAGCTAGAAGCCAACATATGTGCCCGAGTTATCTATCTTCCAAAGTTAAATAAAACTGACTTATGTTTATTCCAAACATTGGAACCGAGAGTCTGGAATTTTCTCTTTGAAAATCAGTTCGCCTACTTGCACCAGATAAGTGCATCTTAGGAAAACGTTTTGTTTATAACTTTTATAAGAGGCTTAGCGGCATTTATGTTATCTGGCCCGATTTGATTAGATTTGTGCTGTTTAACTGTGCGACTCGAAGTCTGCTTTGGACATATACTTATGTATATAAAAGGCTTGTAACCGTTCGAGTTCTTCTTTTTAAGTCTATGACAATCGTATCAAATAATATGCTTCACATTTCACAGCAGTTTTCAGTTTATGGAATTGTAATGAAGCGTAATTAAATACTTATGCATTTACCAACATGCGCCCATTTCATATTTCCAGCTGTTTAATTTTGAGTTTTATATATAAGGTACACTTTTTTATTATAATTTCTGATTTATGGCATTTAACGATGTGTTACCCAAAACTTGAACTTGTTGATTTTCAATCTATTTAGAAGTTTGCAAGTAAAAGTCAGTAAAATATATTTCATTACGTTTAAAATCAAGTATTCGAGTGAAAAATTGAAACGAGTGAATTTTTCAAGTCGATCTGAAAGTTTCCATTTAACAATTTTTTACTTTCGCAGTAGAAATATTCGATTATTTTATCCTATGGTTCTTCAACAAAAACCAAACTTAAACAGAGTGAAAATCTCAGCTTCTTAGCTTTAACGGATTGAGCTGTGCGCCAATCATCAATCATTCAGTCAGTCAATCAGAAATCAATTAAAGCTTAGCTAATGCATAGTTCTTGAAGACTAGAAGAGCTTTTGTGGAGTGGAGCTCGAGATCGAGAAGCTTTAATAAGCGACATAGAAGAAATTCGTTTTTAAAGCTTATGCAATGGGTAATGGATATCAATGATTAGCAAAGCCCATGAATGAATATTATATATGGCGGATATATGATATTTTGATGGAGTTTTTTTTTTTTTGGGCCATTGTTTAAAACAGATTTTCATTTGCAGTCACGTTAAATGCGAGAGTTTGAGCAATTTTATGCGTCACACACAGATCGCTAGATCGCTTCCAGCGAAAGATAGGGACTCGTTGCAGAAGGGGTAAGAGTGAGAGAGAGGGAGAGAGAGAGAAAGAGAGAGTAAGGGGGGCTCGGCTATTTGCAAGCTCAACTCATTTATATATTTGTATAGGAAATTGAATCGCAGAGCTACTTTATCAGTAGTATTATTCATGCGGCTCTGCTGTTCTGTTCGGATAATTAGTTTTGCACTTGCAAAAAGTCGCCGCTGGCAACGCGACGCCGAGAGTCAGACGATTCGGTTGGGGTTTCAGTTGGGGCTGGGGCTGGGGCTGGGGCCTAGGCCTGAGGGTTGAGGTTGTTGAGTGGAAACTGAAACAGAAACAGAAACAGTTGGCGCCACGCGCCGTTAATCGATTTGTGATATTTTATGATGTTGCCTTTTGCTGCCGGAGGAAATGTGGAAAATGGGCAAATGATTGTGAATGTGTATTTGTTTACATTCGCGGCGGTTGGCTGAGACGTTGGCGTCATCGAATTGCCTGGCTAATCAGAAGTTGCAGAAGATGAGGCAGAAAATGCGCTAAGTCCAATCAGAATGTCAACTGCCTTATTGCCAATCAGTCAGTCAGTCAGTCAGTCAGTCAATCAGTAAGTCCGTCAGTCGGTCCGTCCGTCTGTCTGTCGCACTGTGTGGCAGCTTTGCATTTTACTTTTCTTTTGCACATTACTTGAGTCGCACTCAAAGACAGACAGACAGACAGCCAGAAAAGCTAATTGAATTTGTTTTACAAATTGCTTTTATATTATGTAAGATCTATGCTAAACAGAGACATATATATATATATATATGTGTATAGAGAGAGGGAGAGAGGGTGGCTTTGCTCAGTAATATTGGGTTATAGGGCCAAGTCCAATGAAATGCTTTGTCACTTAAGACCCAAGCGTGTGTGCTTAGTTCTTATTTCTTAGTTAATTCTGCTGCAATAATTTGCATGACTGCGCCCCTTGCTGCAGCTACTTGCGGGGTTTCCCAGAAGCATACATCTCACAAATTTATACACATATTCCGTGCTGGTTTCTAAAGAATAGAATTATACAAAATTATCTGTTTTTATAATTTCTAACCGCGTCATTTTGCTTTTGACCGAAAGGGGTTTTTTTTTTTTTGAGACCTAGAGCTTTAACATAGATTTAATGGAACCTTTAGTTTCCCTTATATTCCGCACTTTGCTGTGATTTCTTTGTAATCAAACACGTCTTAACTTATATTCTTAATAGAACTTTCAAAATTAGTTAAGCTCTTTATATTTTTATCTTATCTTTTTTAATAGAGCTTTGAAACGCAGTTAGGACCGACGCATTCTATTTAAACATTTCCACTCTAACAAGTGGATTGGCCACAATTCGCTTAAAACTTATTCATGCACAGATTTTCAATCTCCTCTGAACTGTCAAGACTTGATCAGGCATCCAATAGGTAGGCGACGGTTTGAAACGCAGCTTTAACCCTCTTATATTGAAAATTGAACTTCAGCACAGACAATTTTGTTTTCCCAATTTCCGCCATAGCAAGTGGATTGGCCACAATCCGCTTGAAAATAATTTTTGCAAAGTTTTTTAACCATTTCTTCAGCTCTTAAGCTTTGCTAAGATTACCAAAATGTTGTCTTATAAGTTATGGGCAGACCTCGAGCTTGAATTTATGGAGATTTTAACAAACATTGTTTTCACTCATATTCCGCACATCTTGCTTAAGGAATTTCCACCCGAAATAGTGAATTTGCGAAAATCCAGTTCTACCGAATTCTTGCATAGATTTTCCACCAATTCTCAGCTCTCAAGATTTGATCCGTCAGCCAAAGGGTAGATTTAGATTTAGCTATAATTCGTTTGAAGTGCTTTGAATTGCACATTGTATGCTTTTTAGATATAGTCGAGCTCCATTGACAGTTTGCAATAACCTGATCGGATCGTAAATTGATCGTAACGCTGTTTCATTATAAGCAGTCCAATCACCGAACCACAAACGTCAACGTCGACGTCTCGCCGTTTTAGCGAGGTTCTCGTATAACCTTTTTATTATCATAGCATTCATGCATCATGTACGAGTACGACAACGAAAATGAGTCCGAGTACTTGTAATCTTACTATCTTGGGCTCTGTTGCTGTTTATATTTGCCACTGAAAGTGCTTTAATGAAGGTCGATTGCGAGGAACTTTATCGGCCAGCAAAGCTCATTGACTTGCCCAGAATTTATTGGTTGACAAAGTGCATTTTAAATAAACCTGATAATTGGAACAGCTTTTGCTCTTTGATAGATATACGCTGATACACTGAAAGGGTTAGAAACTTAAAGCACGACAACTCGCTACGATTGAGTGCTTGTTGTTTTCTTTGAAATCTTTTGCCTTTGCGGTTTTTCACACAAAAAATCCTTTATCTAAAAATCCTTTATCCAACTATCAAAGTTCTGATTGCTTTGCAGTTTCATTTCTTACCGATGCTTCCTTTAAGTTGGTAAGTTTCTCACTTATCGCAATTTCCTTAAAAAGATATTTCTTATGTTTTTCCGATTGTGCCAAAAGCAAGCTTAAATGCATCGATTAAATTAAACACAATTTATAAAAAATCTTATATATTTATAACGGCGATATATTATCAGGTAGTACAAACAGTATCATCGATATATAAACATGTCTGTCTGTTCGTCTAACTGTCTTTAAGTCCGCCCTTCCTCTGGTACATTAAATTTCTAAACTTTGTTTTCTAAGAACAAGTTTGTTCAATTTGATCGATA